ATGTCACTATTAAAACATAATTAAGGGCTTTTTAAAAATTTCACTCCAGGCAAATGACTTTGCCTTTGCTTCCAGCTTTCCAGATAGGATATCTGGAATTACCACCTCAGCAGCTCCTCCACCCCTACGCTTGCCAGCTGGGGTTTTACGCTCACTGCGAGCAAACACGCTTTGTTTGCTGTTCCGAGTCGGGCAAAGTATGACGCTGAGGAATCTCACCACGCTCAACGAGCCATGACGTTTTCCTGGTACCGTGAGAATGGTTTGCAGTAACACGGGAGCAGGCCTGCCAGGCAGGAGGCAGCAGTCAGCCCGTGGCTGGCCCTGTGTGCGGGCGGCAGGGCTGTGGTTGCAGGCCGAACAGCCGTTCAGGCCCGTGAGCACAAGCTGGCGTGAATCTGCCCATCGCCAGCACCAGTGCTGTTGCAGTTGCAGTACAGGGCTTCAGCCAGAGGTGTTTCGCACACACACAGACCCAAGAAGGTGCCACAAGTGCTGCAGGAAGCTGCTGCCACCTGAGGTGACTGCCACCAGAACTGCCACTGTGCCTCTACCTGCCACACGAGGACAGCTCAGAAGGAAACGCCACCACCGACCACTGTCAGCGTTTCCAGAGAAACCCTGCCCTGATTAACTGTACATTCGTACCTCATCAGTTAAAAAGGAGAACCACACAAGTGTTATCAAAACGCAAACCAAGTCGTCTCTGCAGCTGTCAGAGGCAGACGTTAAAACACAAAGCCACACAGGCAAAAAAACAAATTTAAAACCCACATTTCAAACTGGCATTTCTTATACTGTAAATCTACCCACACCTGACAAGTCCAACACAGCTTTGCTGCAGGTTCCACTCATAAAACATGCCCACATTCACCTTCACTTCTTGCACAGATACTGAAATCGAAAATTTTGTGGATGCCAAGTGAAAGAGCTCTTGAATCCCACATCTATTTGATCTTATTTTTAGGCTAATGCTGATTTATGGAATAGAAATGCCATGCTAAGTAGTATTATCTTACAAAAATAAAAGGAAAGTTACGGGAAACAGACAACACATTTTATAGAAGACATTTTCACTGAAGTGTAACCTTACAGCCACCCAAAGCTGAGAGGAGAAAATAATTAAGTAAAATTTTTATGTTTAAAATCATATTAATCCGCAAGATAGGCAGCAGGTCCCAAAGCTCAAAACCTTCACTAATCACTCCAGTTTTGTGATGAACACAGAAAAATACTCTATCTTGCTGAATCCAAACTGGCGCACCACTTTACCCACATTCCTGAAATCCCAGCTTTCAGGCAGAACTGATTTAGGAGAAACAATCCTCTTTCATCTCACAAGGAGATGCCTATATCCACTGAGACAGTGAACAGATTGATGTGTCTCTCACATTCAGGTTTAACTGAGTAAAACAGGTAGAAAAGAATTGTGTGATAAACACAAGCAGGAAGTATCTCAAACCTCAGTCACCGGACTCCCCTCAGCCACAGCGATGGTTACAGAATGCTGCTGCAGTAAGCAATTCCCATTAATAACGAGCAACGTTTCTAATTCACTGTGCAATAAACCGAAATGAAAGGCATTATTAACTTGTCTTTCCAGTACTGCCTTGCATCAAAATTAAGACAGTGATACCACCACCCTCTAGCGCTAAAAGCTGTTTCCAAGAATTCAAATACACGCAAAGTAATTACAGAACACAGTGTGCTGAAACGTTCAGTACTTTGATAGTAGCACTTTTTACTAACAGGTTGAGGCAGAAACTTCAGCTATTTAAGTTCTGAGACAATACCTGCGTAAGAAACATTTAAAACTATGGCCCAGTCCTGCTTCAATAGAAAAACAAATCCTGTTGGCGTTAAAACATCTGCCCAGAGATGTCGTGGATGCCCCATCCCTGGAAGTGTCCAAGGCCAGGCTGGATGTGGCTTTGAGCAACCTGGTCTACTGGAAGGTGTCCCTGCCCATGGCAGGGGGGTTGGAACAAGATGATCTTTAAGGTCCCTTCCAACCCTAACCATTCTATGATTCTATGATAAAAAAGCCTAGAAAAAGTTGCACAGATCACATCCTTCAGTCCTAGAAAATTCATACAAACTAACCTTGCTAAAATGCTTCTGAAAGAGCAAGGAAAACAGTCTTCGAACACAAAACTGCTAGGCTTAAAGAGGAAAGGCACCATTTACCTGCTGTGGAGGTAGAAGGAGGACAGACGGGCCCTACTGGAGGCAAGAGAGATGTCTGTTAAGGATCAGAGAGAATTAAGAGTCAGGTCTGTTAAGCACGGGAAGAGATCTCCCAGGGCAGCAGGGGATCCCCAGCACTGGAATTGTTAAGAGTGCATTGGGCAAAGCACCCGCCAGAAAGGTGCAGGGGCCTTCCTTCCGGCAGCGGATGGGGTAGTGGAGGTCCCCTCCACACTTCTCATCGACAGCAAATGAAGAGCTGCAGAACTGGAGGAAGACTGCAGCATGGCGTGTGGACACAGGTCCCTGTCCACGTGAGCAGTAGATGGAAATGGAGTAACAAAAGATGAAGAGAAGCAGCCTGGTCCAGCAGGTAGGGACCAAGGTGAGACCCGGTAAGCCAGAGCTCAGGCTGGAGGCTGTACCCGAGCAGGTCAGAGCTCATCACCTCCTGCCCATCCTTTATCTCCTCCAGCCTTCCCAGCAGGGCACGGCAGGTGGGGGCGAGAGCAAGCAGGGAACCTGACATGCGGCAGCAAAACAAACATGCTGAAAATACATCGAGAAGTGCAGTTGTCCATGAACTTTTACGACCTTGGTGACTCGTTCAATAGTGTTTTTAGGATAGATCAAGTGGGCGGAAGAAAGTGGAGAGTGGCACACCACATTCAGCACATAATTACTCAAATATAGCTTATTGGTGGCTCACGACCAAAGCATTTTGAAAGCACACAGGGTCGATACGCCGCCTACCACGAGAGGAGACTCCTATAAGAGGGGGTCTCTTGCACAGACCACCAAATCACAGCAGACAAGTGTCTTCTGTAATGTCATAAAAGATTTCAGCATAGGAGACATACGGAAGCCTTAAAGAGCCAAACAGAAAAACAGCACTGGAATGTCTAAGAATTGCAGCTGATTGGAGGAGGATTGAGGGTAGGAGCAGTTAGTGTACCCAGAACCACATACTGGTGTTTGGGCCCAGAGAGGCAGATGTTGGGCCACTGGAATTGGGGAACGCCTAAAGGATTAGTTCCCATTTTGTAAAGGGCAGTCCCAGTCGAAAAGGTATCTCTAGGGTTTTAAAAGGGCTAATTTCACATAATTGAAGAAAAATTTACCAAACTAATTAAAGAGAAAAATGTAGAGGAAAAAAACAAGACTGAAAATAGACAGATCTTTAAAAAGAATTCATTAGAAGGCTGAGAATTCATGTTTCCGTGAGGGCTGTTTTAACTAAACCCTTGCTGATTAGTAACTGTAGAGGTCAGAGAAGATGTTCACAGTAAAATATTTAAATTACGATATAAGGAATGTTATTTTTAAGTTATTCAGGAAATAAGGAGAAATTGTGCATTTGTATTAGATGAAAAAACAAGATACTAAATAACATTTCCTTGGGTTGAAAACGTTAAGTCAAACAACTCAGCCCATTTGCACACAATTCTTAAAATGCTTTGGCTTGCCAATGTCCACCATGCAGAAACACTTCAGAAAACTGGAAGAAGGCCAACGTGCTCCTTCTCCAAGCACATGCACTACACACACAAACAGGAAAGATAGCTGGGGCCATGTGAGTAACCTTGGGAAGGCTTTTGCTGACTTATCACTGGATAACCACCCCAAACAACAATATGGATTAGACAGCTTCAACACTGTAAACAAGAGATAGACTAAAAACTAGTGATAGATGTAAAAGTGGTTATTGGAGAAGAAACATTGAGCAATCTTAATGTACCCCCTCAGAGACTAGTTTCAGCCCCCACGCCAGCCAACATCTCAGCCTAGAAACACATAGAAAATTGTCTACTAAATCGAGCCGATCAGCCAAGTAATAAATAACAAGGAGAGCGCAGTTGTGGGCACGATCCGGGTCCCTTGGCAGGCAGGGCCTATTCAAATAAGATGTGCTTCCGGACAGGAAGTCACACACCCAGGAACACGGAACAAACACTGCTGTCGGATGCCAGGCCGTACCTGGGTGGGAACGCACCAAACCGACGCTGCAAAGGATGCTGAGGTCAGAGGAGATAAGCAATTCAGCAAAAGACTAGGGATGAGAGGGCTAATGCGATTATGGGATGTACAGAAAGAGAAACAGAGCAGGAGCCTGGAGGAGGTTTTATCTCCATACACTGTACACGTATTTTCAGCATATTGTTTTAAGATTATATTTAAATTCTACAGCACGCTTAGAAAAGAGACTGGAAAGACTGTTTTAGACTGGAGACAAAATTCTCAGTGAGAGACTTGAAAAGCTTAATCTATTTCATTTATCAAAAGGCGGATTCAGAGGTAACGGTTCTCAGTGTGTTAAGGCAAAAAAGTGGCAATACCAATGAACCCTTTAAGTGAGAAAGCTTTAGCCATAAACTGCTCAAAACTGAAGCTGGATATATTTAAGGAAGTAATAAAGTATGACTATTCTGAAGAGTAAAGATAATTAACCTTTAGTTGAATAACAGTAGAGGCAGGACAAAGTAAAAGTAGGAATTCTCAGTGCTATAAATCTTCATATTAAAACTAGATAACTGCATAGACAATTTGCTTCAGATAAATGCAGGTTTCCGGGGCTGGGTGAAACTGCACAGCTTATTCTAAGAGATTCGACAGGATCATCTTCTGGTTTTTAATTCAACAGACTTACAGTAATACAGGAAAAGAACAGCATAATCTATCGCTGTCATTCGCATCTGCGTAACTCCTCTTTGCTGAGGTAAGGGTGACAGATTATAAACCATGCTTGTAACGTCAAAAGCATTCAGTAATTAAGACAAACCAGAGCTTCAGCCTTCCTCGGCCACCCAGGCGACTTACTCAGAGATGTGTACGAAGATGTCGGGCCCTCCATCCGCAGGGGTGATGAAGCCATGGCCTTTGGAGCGACAGAAGCATTTACAGACACCTTTGTAGATGGGACCCTCCGATGCTCTCACGGTTCTGCCAAAGAAAGCACAAGAGCAGCGGTGGTTCATTGCTGAGCACGGATGCGACAGCTTCCACGTGTGTCAGCCAGAGCACACTAGGAAATCAACCCTAATTGGTATGCATAGCACCAAGGCTGAAGACTGACCTCCTCCTCCACTGCTGTGGGACCTCTATTTTAAAACAAGACAGGTATGGAGACAAACCTTAGGATGACTGCCATCAAGAAAAATGACTTGCATGAACTATAACCCATGTTGAAAACCACATGATTAAATCCTCTTCCCTGTCACATAAGCTGAACTGAATCTCCAGGGATCCAAACTCACTCAAACAATTCCATCAATGAACCCAACTGCTGTAGAAACTTTACAGGGTTTACACACAGGAGTTACAAGATCAGGAACTTCTTATGCCGTGATTATCCAGTAGGTTGCTTCCATGGTACAAGAGGATTTTGGTGCGATTCTTCAAAACTCCGTAAGTGACTGTTGTCATTTGGTTACACGCATGATGGCAATCTTGACACCATTTTCCCAAATGTTTGAAGTTTACTGAAGACTAAATAAAATCATTAAAAATGTGGTAATCGCTCTGCTCCTTAAGGCAAACTAACACTAACACTTTCACCTGCGTTTCTTTAAAGAAGGAAAAAATCTCCAGTAAATCGCTACATTTCCAGCTCTATAAAGCTGTCAACACACCTGACCCCACAAGTGCTTGTTACACAGAAAAGCACTCACTGCCCTAAATAAGCTATTAAAGTTCAACTGCATCTTTCAAGGAGATAAAGCACTGGGGGGATAAGGCCCCACACTTGCAGTGAACCAAAATTAAATAATCCCACTAGATAAGCTGCCTCTCACATTCATCTTTTCCATACAACTGTGGGGACAGAGCTCACCTAGAGCTCCTCTTGTTTAATGAGGACACTAAACAATAATAATTAAAATTTAGAGCTATTTTCATTTTCAGGGCAAAGAAATACAGCAAGATTTCTACACTAATTAGTGATTAAAGCACTGTGGAAGCCAAATAACAAATTCTTCAGTTTTGTAAGAACCAGACCAGGATTAACAGTTGAGAAGAATTACAAAGAGTTCATTATTAACAGAGCACTGAGGCAAGCTAGCTTGGAACTGCTTTTCAAGGGCAATCCCAATTATCAAATCAATTATGTTCCTTTCAGCAATCTACTCCCATTACAAAATTTAGGGCATTTTAAGGGTTTTGGAACTGACAACATAAATTTTTTCTTCTGTTGCTGGTGTTCTTTTTTGCCTCATTTTGAATACAGGTCATAATACGAAGCATCACTGAGATTATAGAATCATAGAATGATTCTGTAGATTGATGTTATTTAAATCTGCATGGATAACTCTTAAAGGAAAGAGCTGGGTAACACTGCAAGGAGCAAAAAGGGAAAAGCACGCCAACTAGATTAAGCAGCACAAAGTAGGCTAGCTGCAGGTTTGAAATGTTAATTCCCCAGTCTGTCACTTGGCATTGCCAGATCTCCCTTACACAGAATTGCAAGACTGGCAGAAGTACAATGGATTGACCACAGCTTCACGTTATACACCCAGACCCTGATTCTAAAGCCCCACAAAAAAGCCCACGTTGCCTTCTGGCAGTCTCCTTCGCTGGGAGATGCATCACAGCCACTGGGAATTTTTTGCAATAGCCAAACCTTACACCACCGTCCTCTGCTGCTGCTCTGCAGAGGAGTCCCTTCGGGCAGGGGGCTCCCAGGCAGGATCCTGCACAGCACCGTGGGGCCACAGGAAAGCTCGGGGAAAGCCAGCTCTGCTGTAGGATCACTACGTCAAATAACTACTAATAGCAGCAAACCTCAGCTCATCTTACGGAAAACCTCTTATCATCTTAGAGAATCAAAGCGACCAGGGACCACACCTTGAAAACCAACGTATTATTTTACAGGTCTATTTGAGCAGTCTTAAAATGGAGATGGGAAAGCTGAGTAGGAAAAGGAAACAAGTCCTCTGACAAGTGACACGGTCGTGGACCATCCCTAAAATGTAACCTGGCTGATGGCAGCAGAGGTGTCAGGAGTGAAAGAACTAAAGCCTTCGGGAGGTCTGGTCCAGTGCTTCAGGGGCGGTGAGAAGAGAGGTCGTGCCAAGGGGGTGGAGCTGATGAAGAAACACCCACAGGAACTGGTCCCCAGAGCCACAACCCAGTGTCTGAAGAAAAACAAAGCTTCAGGCAAGAAACTGTTTTGAAAAAATCTCAGCGTTTTCCACTCCCAGTCAAACTCTGGTATTAAAGAGTGGAAAAGACTTTGAACAGCCTTTATGCAGAGCATGAAAAACCGCAGGCAATTTGGACTAAAAGTCTAGTGGCATCAGAATTTATGGAAGAAGAAAAAGCAGTAAAGCAGAGAAAGCATCTCGCAGGTACAACAGACACACCCCCCCTTCCCTTGGGCTGATCATTCTGCACAAAGGCAGTCGTTTGGTTGTGTCCATGAAACGCAGGTTTCCCAGTACTCACGCTGAAAACGTCCTGGTCCGTCGGGTGGGCAGCGGACTGGGGATGAGGTACCCTCTCATGGGTGATGGCGAGCGATCCCTTGCCCTGCGGTTTTCAGGCAGATGGAGAGAACTGGGTGAGGGTGGAGAGGTGGGGGACTGCTGCGAGGCGGATGAAGTGGGCTCAGAAGACATTCCTGATGCCTGAGAAAAACCTAGTGAGAGGAAGAGATCTGACTTAGTCCAAAATGGGAATTGTCATAAAAGTCACAAATTCTCGAGCCTGTAAAAACATGACTCACTTCCTGCAGACGGACATAGTTGCACCAAAAACTCTTGCCCTGTGTCAGCGAGTTCGTTTTTCTTACAGTTTGTTTATTTTTAGATTTTACAGCTTTTGTAAGTTGTACTAGGAAGCTCCACTGAAAACAGATGACTGCACAACTAACGTATCTGGTTACTCCTGCCTCACTCACACTCCCCTCCCTCGCAGGCGATGGCTCCTGAAGCAGAGCTCAGCCCTAACGCTGGGTATCGTGTGCCCCACAGGGCTCCCAAATAGATGGGGTTTGACCACTGACAGCACAGAGGAGCCTCCTGTGCACAAACACGTTACAACAAAGAGATACTAGAAGAAATGCTGAAATAATGGCTGCACCTCTGCTGCTGGAGGTTAGTTCTGCTGTGCAATCCCCAATGCTAACTCCGCTGCTGCTGCTCAGCTATCTGCACAGCTCTCCCAGAGCTCCTAACACCTTCAGCTCAACTGCAAGAAAAAACACACACGAGTGCTCCTTAATTCACTTCAGCATCAGACAGTTTATTTCCTCTGCCAAGGACAGGCATATGGACCAAGCCGGAGGCAGTGGCCGACCCGAGGAGGTGACCCCTCCAGCCTGCAGAGACCCAGCAGACCCCCTTGGTAGGTCTGTGTCTGCTACAATCCTCCAGCAACCAGGAAGCCAATGATCCCCACCGGCATTCAGACCCCCAGCAGCCCCAAATCAGATTTGCCCTTATTCACATCTCACAGCACAGGGGAGAGCAGGTCCCTTTCTCAGCACACAACAAGCAAAACTCACGGAAGCCATGGAAAGAAGGTCACAGCAGCAGTTCTATGTACACGTAGAGCATATGCTTACAGGGGCAGCGGTGACAGAAAGCAACCAGTCAGCACTGCTCTGGCATTACTGTGCAAGTCCCATCTGCACTGGAAGGGGATTAAGCTGGGTAACCAAGGATAACCAATAGCCCACCACACTCTCCCTTAAGAAAATCTGTAAGTACCTGGATGAATTAGCAAAGTGTGGCAATTTCAGTCAAGAAACTATCATGAAGGCAAGAAAAGCTGCCTTTAAGAGCAATAGTTTCATTGAACTGAAATCTCTCATATCCATTATGCATCCTCCTTTGACACCCACACTCCCTAGCCCATGAATTATGGAGTGGATCCTTCACATGACATTTGAGAGATGCAGCCTTCTTGTCAATGACAAATTCCCATTATTTCTTCCTGAAACTAAGGACTAAAATTAAAAAAGCCTCTTAAGAATGAAGTCACCAGGGAACAAAGGCTTTTGTGTTTAATTGCTCAGGGTGCTGAGAAGGTAGACGCGGATAGCCATGTTCCCTCGTGTACCAGCTTGAGCTTTCCACGCTGTTCTCAAAGGCAACAACTCGGCTGAAAAAAATCCCCACAGCTTTACGGATGGCGTTTTAAATATGGATGGCCACTCACAAGCTAATGCCCTGCCCAGCGTCACAGCACAGCATTCAGCTGAGACTGAGGTGACAACACCAAAGGGATGGGATTTTCCAAACTTCCTCTTCCTCCAGAAAGACCTGCTGTGCTGGCTGGCACTGAGGAAGTCTCCTCAGGTTTCAAGAGACGTCTCCTTTTGGGTGCCTTGCTTTCAAGGAATGCATAGTTGACATAGCAGGACTCTAACTAATAACTCCCAGGAAAAATAAGAGCAAACAATTTAAATCTCATTCTGCTAAGTCAGCACGCATGGCCCGGCCTTTGCACAAGTGAAAACGCTGCTTTCAGAATGGCACGCTTTCTCTCACCTAAATATAAACCAGCTTGTCAGGTGACAAGCAAAATGCAGAGCTATTCATCCATCTACAGCCATACAGTAGAGCCGACCACGAAGTACTGCCTGTCCTTCCCCAAACAAGGGTAGAGAGGCCGGAGAATTTTCCCTCCTTTCTTTAAAACACAGATGAACCACAAAGATATTTACGAACAAAGAGGCCTAAATGGAGTTAGAAGTGTGCTAACGTATGTTATTGTTCCCATTTATGTTATTTTTGTGCCCTCTGCTCTGTAGACACAAAATAAAACAGTGATGTAGAACATTCAGTCCCGTTTCACTGCACAAATACCTTTTTTGTTCTCTGCCCACTGCCAAAGTAGATGAATGGCCTCGACTCCCAGAATTTGTTACGCAAGTCCTAAATCACGACCAGAGCTCAGCGAGAGCTGACAGACAAACAGGCGCAGCTGGAGGAGCAGCACCCGCGGCAGCGAGTACAGCTCCAAGAAGAGGGCACGCAACGGAGCGGCCAGAGGAAGCCTGCGACTATGCCACAGCTCAGCGACGTTCTACGTTGGTAGCTCTGTCGTACCACTGCACGTGCAAGTGCACCAGCGCATCCGTCTGCCTCTTGGGCTTCTCCAGCAAGCGCAGGAGTGAGACGCAGTGAGAAGGATTCGAGGCTGAATTACCAGTATTACTGCGATCGCTGTGTACGGCGGGACGACACCAGCTCCTGTGAACCCCCGCTCGCCCGGCTCGGTGCAGAGCACCTCTTCCGAACCTTTTCCAAGGCCAAGGTGGAGTTGAGCTATTCCAGCGTGTTCTGGTACGGCCTTGACGCTGGTTTAGTCACACTAACTCATTTCCACTGGCAGCACTCCCGACAGAGGAGCGCTATCCACACCCACCCGTGCGGCTGCAGGCACTCCGAGCCTGGGCACTGTTCACGCTGGAAGCCTACAGCAAACACTCAAAGCAGCATGAGATTCCAGCGACGACAGATAAGGGACCATACAGCCAGTATCTCTCTTCTGTTTGAGCCAGCAAAATACTTGTCTTCGGGTATTTACAGAATGAGCGTGACATGATGCAAGGTGGTGATATTTTCAGGAGCAAGGAAACTGCAAGCACCTGCCACCCTACCCTTAAATCTGCCCATATTTCAACATGCATAACTCATCTTTCACCAGCATGATTTCCACTCCCCCTTCCCCCCAAGAGTGTAGGTATGCACCAAATTAAAATATAAATAAATCACAGAAGCAGCATGGAAATAACAGACTAATTTCACATTTCAAAGCAAAAAAAAAAATTTACCATATTTTTTTTCAGAACAATTGCCCAATGTGTACACAGAGACCCCACAATGTCATCTGTAACCAGTGACCTACAAGTGCAATACCTGCTGGAGAAATTTCTGAAATTCTCCATAAAATACTACCAAAACAATCTATCGGAGTAACTAAGGTGGGAGTTATGTAAGTGCCACCATCATTTCTCTATGTATCTATACATTCTTTTTCTAATCTTCTTAAAGTCTACCTCTAAAAATACCCTAAAAATATCAGTTTTGGGGAAGTTATCCATTCTGACCAGCACAACACTACCACAGAAATTTAATCTCACTTTTAATTAAAGGAAATGCTGGGGAAAAAAAAGTCAAACCGGATAGGGCAGGGTGACAGACTCCAGGAAATCTTTCCGTCCGTGAATGGTTTGTTTTGACACGACAGACATCACAGCACCTCCAGCAGGCACAGCGCCCGTGCCCAGGAAGCACTGCTCTGCTCAGAAGGTACCAGGACAGTCTCTGAGGACGACAGCACTGGCCACACACGCCTGGAAAACCAGGCCTTTCCTCAAAGAGAGCGTGAGGTTTGTGAACCCCAAGAGCAGCTGCTTTCAGCTGGGTTTTGCTGGAAGTTAGCTCTTTCATTTCAACCCCTAAGAGGAACGTGGACATCTGAAATGTGTTTTCTGAGCTTTCCTTGGAATTAGAAACATTGTCAGAAACTCTTTTTAGGTGACTCACTTTAAAATGTCCTGGTATTTGAATTATTCCACAGAACTCAATTTCTTTCCTTCTCTAAGGAAGCCGTGCAGATAAAGCCCTGAGCTTTGCCTGCTCCTCTGTGGAAAGCTACAAGCTCTTCTCAGCAAGAGAGAAAACGAGGCACGATGGCACACAGTGAGCACAGCAGCGACTGATTCTGCTCCGAAGTGCCCTTTCCCAACAGTAAGTCCCTTACACTCATCTACTGAAAGAGTGAAGGCACCAGGATCCTTTACCCCCTGCATTACCTTGCCCTGAAGAAGGAGAGGAACCAGGGGTGCTTGGCTCCCCAAGGTGTCCCCGGTTCTTCTAAAGCAGCACCCAGCTCCCTGGCACCTCTCCCAGGCACCTGAGCACCCGGCCACAGCACTGCTCCCACCTGCAGTTTCCTTCCAAAGCACCTTCTGGCACTCGGACCCAGCGTACGCAAGGATCCCCGTGCCGCAGAGCATCCCAGCACTCCTCCTGCGTCAGAGTTAAGCACTTACAAAACACACACAATTACAAAACGGCTGGTTCAAAAAGCTTCCCCTTCCAGCCTAGTTTGCATGACTAACTTTCCACAATTAATACTGGTATTGCAATTAACACTGAAACTCAGAGGAGTTGCAACATGCATGTGACGCGTCAACACAAAGGATTACGGCATAAACCCTGCGCCCGTGGAGGCTGCAGAGGAGTGCCCACGCACCGTGGCGATTTGGCCAGGAGACCAGGACATTGCCCAACCGTCCCCATGTCCAGTAAAAACCTAATTATAAGGTAGGCAAAATACAACAAGGAAAATTCCTATCGCTTGTCTGTGCAACAAGCAAATTAGCTTGGATTAAACCAGGGCTGAGTTTAAGCAGCAGCAGCTATTTCCACACAGTCTCGGCAGCCAACACCTTCTCCCAAACGCCGTGGCTGCCCTCCTGCTCCTCCAGTTTGCCGTCTCTGAAAGCAGAGCTGCCCGAGCCCCACGAACCAGCCCTGCACAGCAGCACCCACAGAAAGGCCTGGGGAGGGGAGCTGCCATCAGCAGCCTGCACAGGACATTGATAAAGGTGAGGACTTCACAGTCCTGTATTTTCCACGGTTCACATAAGCTGCCAGATGCA